GGTAGTTCTAAGAGGAAAGTATCTAGCAATATAGGCTTAACTCAACAAAGAAGAGCAATCCCAAATGAACAGTCTAAACTCACAGTTAATAAAACTAGAAAAAGAAGAACAAATGAGGCCCAAAGTCAGTAGAAGGAGGGGCATAATAAAGATTAGAGCAGAAATAAAATTGAGAAGAATAAAACAATAGAAATACTGAAACCAGGAGCTGGTTCTTTGAGAAAATAAAGTAGATAAACAACTAGGCACACTTATCAAGAAAAAAAGAGAATTTACACTCAAACAGAATCAGAAATGCAAAAGGAAAAACTATGGACAACACAAAAATACAAAGAATTATTAGAGAATACTATGAAAAATTATTTGCTAACAAAGTGGATAACCCAGAAGAAATGAACAATTTTCTAGGAAAATGCAACCCTCCAAGACTGACCCAGGAAGAAACAGAAAATCTGAAAAGACCAATTACCAGTAATGAAATTGAACTGGTAATCAGAACACTACCTAAGAGCAAAATTTCCTGGACCAGATGGCTTTACTGCTGAATTTTACAAAACATTTAGAGGAGACCTAATACCATCCTCCATAAAGTTTTCCAAAAAGTGTAAGAGGAGGGAATACTTCCAAACTCAGTCTATGAGGCCAGCATCACTCTAAAACCAAAACCAGGCAAAGACAACACAAAAAACAAAAATGACAGATATCCCTGATGAACATAGATGAAAAAATACTCAACAAAATGTTAGCAAACCGAATTTAAAAATACATAAAAAATATATTCCATCATGATCAAGTGGGATTTATTCCAGGATGCAAGGATGGTACAGTATTTGAAAATCCATCGACATCATCCACCACATCGACAAAAAAGGACAAAAACCACATGATCATCTCCATAGCTGCTGAAAAAACATTCGACAGAATTCAACATCCATTCATGATAAAATCTCTCAACAAAATGGGTATAGAGGGGAAGTACCTTGACACAATAAAGGCTATATATGACAAATGAACAGCCAGCATCATACTTAGTAGTGAAAAGCTGAAAGCTTTTCCTGTAAGATCACGAACAAGACAAGGATGCCCACTCTCCCCACTTTGATTCAACATAGTACTGGAGGTACTAGGCACAGCAATCAGACAACACAAAGAAATAAAAGTCATCCAGATTGATAAGGAAGAAGTTAAACTGTCACTCTTTGCAGATGACATGATATTGTTCCTAAAAAACCCTAGAGAATTTGCCCCAAAACTACTAGAACTAATAACTGAATTCAACAAAGTTGCAGGATACAAAATCAATACACAGAAATCTGTGGCATTCCTATATACTAATGATGAACTAGCAGAATGAGAAATCAGGAAAACAGTTCCATTTACAATTGAACCTAAAAGAATAAAATACCTAGAATAAACCTAACCAAGGAGGTGAAAAAGTTATTCCCTGAAAACTACAAGACACTCATGAGAGAAATTAAAGAAGACACCAATAAGTGGAAATACATCCCATGCTCATGGGTAGGGAGAATTAATATTGTCAAAATGGCCATCCTGCCCAAAGCAGTCTACAGATTCAGTGTAATCCCTATCAAAATATTAACAGCATTCTTCAATGAACTAGAACAAATAGTACTAAAATTCATATGGAACCACAAAAGACCCAAATAGCCAAAGCAATCCTAAGAAGGAAGAATAAAGCAGGGGGGATTATGCTCCCCGACTTCAAGCTCTACTACAAAGCCACAGTAATCAAGACAATTGGGTACTGGCACAAGAACAGACCTATAGACGGATGGAATTGAATAGAGAGCCTATTATAAACCCACACATTTATGGCCAATTAATATATGATAAAGGAGCCATAGATACACAATGGGGAAATGACAGCCTTTTCAACACCTAGTGTTGGCAAAACGGGACAGCTATATGTAAGAGAATGAAACTGGATTATTGTCTAATTCCATACACAAAAGTAAACTCGAAATGGATCAAAGACCTGAATGTAAGTCATGAAACCATAAAGCTCTTAGAAGAAAACATAGGCAAAAATCTCTTGAATCTAAACATGAGCAATTTTTTCATGAATGCTTCTCCTCAGACAAGGGAAACAAAAGCAAAAATGAACAAGTGGAACTACATCAAGCTAAAAAGCTTCTGTACAGCAAAGGACATCATCAGTATAACAAAAAGGCATCCTACAGTATGGGAGAATATATTTGTAAACAACATATCCAATAAGGTTAACATTCAAAATATATAAAGAACTCACATGCTTCAGCACCCAAAAAGCAAATAACCCGATGAAAAAAATGTGCAGAGGATATGAAGAGATAACTCTCCAAAGAAGAAATTCAGATGGCCAACAGACCCATGAAAAGATGCTCCACATCACTAATCATCAGGGAAATGCAAATTAAAACCACGATGAGATATCACCTCACAACCAGTTAGGATGGCCAACATCCAAAAGACTAGGAAAAACAAATGCTGGGAGGAATGTGGAGAAAGAGGAACTTCCTCTTACACTGTTGATGGGAATGTAAATTAGTTCAACCATTGTGGAAAGCAATATGGAGGTGCCTCAGAAAACTAAAAATAGAAACACCATTTGACCCAGGAACTCCACTCCTAGGAATTTACCTGAGAGAAACAAGATCCCAGATTCAAAAAGACCTATGCACCTCTATGTTTATAGCAGCACTATTTACAATAGCCAATATGTGGAAGCAACCTAAGTATCCATCAGTAGATGAATGGATAAAGAAGAGGTGGTACATATACACAGTGGAATACTATTCAGCCATAAGAAGAAAACAAATCCTGCCATTTGCAACAACATGAATGGACTAAAGGGTATTATGTCCAGTGAAAGCCAGGCAGAGAAAGACAAGTACCAAATGATTTCACTCATTTGTGGAGTATAAGAACAAAGCAAAACTGAAGGAACAAAACAGCAACAGATTCACAGACTCCAAGAAGGGACTAGACATTACCACAGAGGGGGGTGTTGGGGAGGGTAGGTGGGGAAGGAGGGAGAAGGGGATTAAGGGGTAATATGATTAGCACACATAATGTAGGTGGGTTCACAGGGAAGGCAGTGTATCACAGAGAAGACAAATAGTGACTATAGCATCTTATTATGCTGATGGGTAGTGACTGCAGTGGGGTGTGTGTGGGGAACTTGATAATATGGATGAATGTAGTAACCACAGTGTTGCTCATGAGAAACATTCATAAGGTTGTATATCAATGATTCCTTAATAAAAAAAAGAAGTACTGTAGGGTCAGAATGGAAGCATAATCCTCTATCAGCACCTTATTTATCTGCTTTCATCAGAGGCAGTGTTCAGATGATAGAGGTTTCAGGTTAATTTAAGCTATGTTATTTAAGATTATTTAAAATCACTTCAGATATTTTAAAAATAAGCTTTAATTCATTGTAAAAATTACTGACAATTGATCATTTTAGTTGTTATCTTGATATTGATAATTGGTGAAAATCTTCATTTTAGGAAAACTGCAGAAATTGTGATGAACAAATTTAAAATCACCTGTGATACCACTGCATAGAAATAATGGTGGTTAACATTTGACAATTTTTTTACAGCTGCTGTGTCATCCCCTCTCCCCCATATATTTTAACAAAATTGGAATGGTGTGGTATGTGCAGTTTTGTGTCCTGATTATTTCACTTACCACTAATTACATAATGAAGATTTTATCTCATCCTTAGCTATGTAATTCTACTCAGGGATGCACCATAGTTTATTTACAACGTTATTTACAATATTTTACTATCATAAAACAATCTTCACTATCTATATTTATAATACTGTGTCTGCATCTCTGATTATTTCCTTTATATAGGTTTCTAGAAATGTGATTATTAGAAAAACATACTTGGTAAACCTCTAGAAGCAAGGGCCACTTGGCGTTTGTGGCCTCACTGTACCCCCAGGTTAACACCACGGATAATGAAGTGGGGAGGAAACATATAGCTGCTTACTAGGAGTAAACAGGGTCTGTGATCTTGTGACTTGAGGGACCCAGAACCCTTGATGGGTCCTGGTCCATTATCTAGGTTGGTTCCCCTTGTTTGAGGGAAGAGAGTGAAATTACCAGTAGACAGTATGTGTCATAACCACAGGTGTTCTGTGCTCAGTAGTCAAAGAACTTTTGTGTGTTTTTGAGTGTGTGAAGATGAGAAAAACTAGCACTGCTTTTGTGGTATATTACCAGTAGAAAAATATCTATTGCTACTTACTTATTGTTACTGTAAAAAAAATTCCACTTTTTCTAATATGCATTTTAGCCTTTCAGATTCAAACTTCCTAAGGAAGTTTTCAATTTGTGTTAGTTAAATTAGATTTTTTGTTGTTGTTCTTTTGTTTTTTGATTCCTAATTCTAAATTAGTGGTTGCCTGGGACTAGGGAGGAGGGAGAGAGGGAGGGGAGTGAGTCTGGCTATAAAAGAGCAACCCGAAACATTGTCATGTTTGGGGAACTGTTCTATATCTTGGTGGTGGACACAGGAACCTACACATGTGACCCAATCGTATAAGAATAAATAAACCCAGACAGAATTGCATGTGAGTCAAACTAGAACAATTTGAATGAGGTTGGTGGATTGTATCCCCGCTGGCACTCTGATTGTGACATTATGTTGTAGTTTTGCAAGGGGCTACCATTAGGGGAAAATGGGTAAAGGATACATGGGATCTCCCTCTGTTGTTTCTTAACAATTGCATGTGAATCTTCAATGATCTCAGTAAAATTTTTGATTAAAACTTGTTTCCTGGTTCTAAAAATGGGTCATTTTCAATAGCATGTTGTTTCTTATAAATGACAAATTTGAAACTAGTTTAATATTCACAAGTACTATGTTCTGTTCAGACTGTTTTTCATTAAGCTTAATTGCCATGAACAGAACGAGTGCTTTTAAAATTTCACTCTAAGTTTCTAAAAGTGTGAAATAATTTTCTCTTTCTTTTCTCTTTCAGCCATGAAGACTTTGAATTTATTTCAGGAACACGAATGCGCAAACTTGCCCGAGAAGGACAGAAGCCTCCAGAAGGTTTCATGGCTCCCAAGGCCTGGACTGTGCTCGTGGAATACTACAGATCCTTGGAGAAAGCCTAATCTGTTAACCCAGTCACTCCACCTTTGACACTTACTGAGTACCAAGAGGGGACCACATATTTACTGTTGGCATTTCTGTGTGGTGGTGTCTGTCTGGACACGCTTCCTAAAAACAGGCCATTTTCCTTAACTCGCATCAGTTAGTCTGCCTTATGAGTTCTGTTTTGAACTAGTGTAGCACTGCTGGTTTTAATGTATCTTTCTACTTATTTTAGTCAATATTCCTACAATACAATTTTAAAATCTTGTCCTTCTATATTATATTTATGCTTCTGTCTCATGATTTTTTCAAGCTGTTGTATTGTAACCAATAGGATACATATTGAATCTCATTTTATCCCTTGAAAAAAGAAAAAAATACTCACTAAACAAATTTGGCTAGAACTCATTTTGGGAATTTTGCAAGACATCTGTAGTAATCAGATTTTTTTTTTCTACATTGAAAATATAAACTGCTTTCTTTCTTCCAATCAGCTATTGATCTCTCAGCTATTATAATCTAAAGTATTCTTATGATCTGTGTAAAACCCTGAATGAATTTTCTTTATTCAATAAAGTAAAACTTTTTGACTTCTTACTTATGTGATACTTTTTTTTTATTCTTTTGTTTGCCCATACTCTTTCCTTCTTGGGAAAAGTTTCTGATGGAAGAAGGAAAATATATCTTTCATTACTGGAATCTAATTTAGTTTCTAACACTGTCTCATAGTGTCTTCTTAAGTGGGGAAATAATCATTCTCAGTCTATCCAAAAATGCAACTAGTTTCCCCAAATGTCTCTCTAATAGCCTTAAACATCTAAGATGGTGGTACCAGTTAATAGAGACATGACAAGGGAGATGGGAGGTGTCAACTAGTCCATTTTGGCATGAGGGAAGGTGGGGGCAAAAATCAAGTTTGCTTTTGTAGATTATCCTCAAGTAGAATATTCAAGTGGAGATGGGTAATTTAGGAGCTTGATATCAATTTTCATTGATAAACCAGCATTTTTTGATTTGCAGTCATACTTTCTATGATAAAATAATCTTGCATGTTCTGGCCTTGAAAATTCAGCATTATAAAGAGATGGCAGATTATATCAAGAGATGGTATATTGTCATTAAGGCAAATGGGAATAAAATACCTCTAGACAAAGATACAGAAGGAAATGCAAAAAAATACAGGATTATAGAATAAGTGAATCAGTTGATAAATAGAAAAAAAATGGAGAATGTGAATAGATATTTTCTAGTGGATAGGTTTATTCACTAGTGGATACTGAATATCTATGTATGCAGAGGCTATATGGATAGACATGTTGATGGGCAAAATAAGATGTTAAAGTTGATACTATTTTTTCGGTGTCACATTGTTCAGATCTGTTTATTTAGGGAGAACTTGATATAAGTCTACACAGGTTGAAGGGCACCATAGATCGCTTTCCAACCACAAACACCTAAGGTGTGACAGCACCTCCATTCATCTAAACTCCCACCTGAAATGTCGAATGTGTAGGAACTGATGCAAAGATACAGAGACAGAATAAATCATGGTTTTATGGTTGCAGTAATAGAGCTGAGATTCTGGGGGTTGTTAGTGGCAAATGGAGTGGTGTCTGCAACAATGGGGTCTTACATGCAGAAGTAGTTATGCTATCTAGAATAAGTGGCATAACCTTGGATGAGTCCCTTGCTACCAGCTCCTTTCATTTCTGACCATTTTCTAAGCCTCATTCTCTCACTTTCCATCAATTCTGTAAGACACCCAACAGCCTTCCCATAAATTCCTTTGCTGCCCAAATTATCTGGAGTTCCTATCATCTACCATCAAGAACCCTGATGGTAACACGTGGCATGTTAAAAAATGGGTATTTTGCATAAAAATCTTAACACTGCTAAATTTCAAGATGATTTGACTGGCAGCAAAATATTTTGAAAGTTAAAAATATAGGAAAAAAGCATTTAAAAAATATTTGGCACTCAGAAAACTTACTGTCCTTTCGAAACTACAAAAAATGTAACATCAAGAAGATAAAGAAGAGAAAATAAGATTAACAACATTAGGGAGAAATGTGGGCTAAAAAGTAATTTTGTGTTCTGTCATATAATTGTCCTTTCTAGTCTAGTCCCTGTGTGCCCCCTGGCCTTCAGCCCTCCAAAGAGGGACATGATGAAAACATGATTCTAGGTCCATGGGCCTTTGGGATTGGCCATCCACTTGTGTGTTCAGAGAGAAGGGGAGGAAAAAAAAAGGCCCCATGATTTCTGCCAGCCTCCAGATTGGCATGTGTATTTTTAATCTCAAGTCTGATACATGTAGAAATCTAATTTTTCCTTTTCCCAGTTCATAAAAATAAGCCCAAACCAATCTTTAAACATTCAACCCTTACACCAAGTCCCTACTGCCAAGTGGTCTTGGAAATCGCAGTGCCATTTTTTATCTATCCATCAGCTGGAAAAGTGAATGGAAAAATAACTTTTTGTTTTTAAAGGAAGGAGGAAAGAAAAGTTCAATCATCTTTGCAGAAATGTAATGTTTTAAATCTGTCAGTTCTCTCTTTCCCTATGATAATCAAGACCACATATTTGAATTTCATTTCCATCCAAGAGGGGAGCAATTATGTCTATCTCTTGGAAGGAAGTATTCAGATACTTTATCAGGAAAAATTCGGAAGTCATGCTTCCCACATGGTATAATTTTATTAGCACATATGTATCCAGGGGTGGGTTGGCTCACAAAGTAAGGAAATATTTCCCACTGGGCCTCTTTTATGTGTGGGGGTGTATTTCTCAGAGGACCTACAAGACTTTGGTTATATTTCTGCTGGATTCCATTCCCTATGCTACACAGTCTTTTCCTGAATATAATTATATATAAACTGTGCAAATATATCCTGTCCATCTAACTCCCAGTCAGTCTCTTCTGGACTAAAATAAAAGCTGGCCTCTCTAAAGATATGTACATGAGGACTGATTGAGCAAGGCTGTATTTAGATTGAAGCTTCTTTACCTGACTTCCTGCCTTCTCAGATACCCAAGGAAAATTACACCAGAATTAGGGCCAGTACTTGAAGAACTGAAACAGGAAACATGAAAGATACCATCATGGGCCTTTATCTCCTGGACCTGCATCACAGATCTGAATGCTCTCCCGTTGTTAAGAAAAGGAAAGTATCTCCACTGAAATGAATCAGAACACTGACTCCCAACAGATCGGGCTTATCCTCTTTGAGAAGTGTTTGTTCTCCCCAGGAGCAAAACCAGTCCTGTTGCCCAAGAAAATGTGTAATCTGAGGACACCTGCCTATTATGTTCTACATAGGTGCAGATATAGGCGTGTGCCTTTTGATGTGTGAAAATTCCAATGGGCTACTTGCAGCTGTAAAATAATTTTGAGTAAGAAATAAGTTAAAAGTTACCTTGGAGATGTTTTGTCTTAAGCAGAGGCACAAGCTTAAGGAATAGTATAGTTCAGTGATTAAGAATTCTAGCTCAGAAGTCAAACCTCACCAATTCCATGTTGATTGTGTGAACTTCAGCTTCTCAAAGCCTCAATTTCCTTATCCGTGGAGTGAAGGTTATAGTCAGGAATTATATGAAGTAATGCATATAAGCATTGCTCCATTATATTTATTACTTAAAGATGTAGTCTTTTGCCCAAGAAGCACAGTGATACAATACTTATGAGACTAGACCTTGAAACCTTTGCTTCATAATTCCATTCTCCAGACCTTGAGCAAAGTTACTAAATACAAGTGTATGTTAGATGCAAATCTAAAGGCAATCAAAACACAGTCTCCCTGGTCAGGCCATACTTTTCCCTTGCTTTTTCCTTGTGCCCACCTTCTGTGCTTCCTAGAGTAGGAAAATGAGTACATTTTTGCAAAGAGAAGAAGCACTAGAATTCTTAACCAACTGAACTATACTCTTCCTTAACAGTATAGACATTCGTGTAAAGCAAATCTAGACTAACTGAAATGCAAAAGAAAAAAAATCATTAAAAAAATGACAGCACTTTGAAGAAGTGGAGTGAAGTGGAAGATATGTCTTAAAATATGAGGAGTGAAGGACTTGGATTAGAAAAGAAGTTTATTCTCAACATTAAATTTAATGAGGAAGGTCTGCTTTAATTAATGTGGTCATTAGTTATATTCAAGCTGCACTTTACAACTCAACACTTTTCATATACTAGCTGAGTTCACCTTGTTGACTCTGATCGAAGCATAAAATCTAAAATATATTTAACTTTCAGAATTGAACCATAAGGGGTGCCTCACGTACTAGCTAACCATTTGTATCTTCTGTGGACGTAACAGATATCAGAGTCTATTAGAATATGAAATAATAATTGTATACTGTTTTCCCAGAGTTTCCACACAGGCATATTTTTTTCTTGTTCTTGTAGTCAAAACATCTCAGCAAAGAGTAAAAGGATGAATAAAGAATAGCATAAAATTTAATCTTTAATAAGCATAATCAGTATCTTAATAATAGCTTAATATCTTAATAATATAACAACAATAACTTCATATCTTAATAATAGCTCTTAATAATTGCTGACTGCTTACTATTTGCCAGACACTGTGCTAAATGGCTTACATTTGCTTAACGCTTGTAACAGCACCTGGCATAATAATGAATATTAGTAAGAAAGGAGAATACAAAGTTCTAAAATGAGAATTTAACATCTAAAAAGATGTTACAGAAATAAAAATTGAGTACTATAATTTTGTCAGCAGAGAAAAGTTAAATTTAATAGGTTAAGTATAAGATAAATACAAGCAAAAACCAAAAGCACATAAATGTGCAAATACCAAAATGCATTAATAACAATTGAGTACAAATGACTATCTGGTGGAGGAGGTCATTGAGAGGACATAACTGCCAGTTGATCCAAGAGAAAGACCTGTGTGATCAGAGGCTCCCACCCCCTCCCCTGCCCTTGGAACATAGGTTCTGCTGCCATTCCCACAGTGAGAACCTATCCACACAGTCTTTTTTTTTTTATTTATTGAAGTGACTATGATATACAATCTTTTTTTTTGATATAATTAATATACAGTTATATGTATATGTACCACATCTTCTTTATCCATTCATCTACTGATGGACACTTAGGTTGCTTCCATTTCTTGGCTATTCTAAATAGTGCTGCGATAAACATAGGGGTGCATATATCTTTTCCAAACTGGGCTCCTGCACTCTTAGGGTAAATTCCTAGGAGTGGAATTCCTGGGTCAAATGGTATTTCTATTTTGAGTTTTTTGAGGAACCTCCATACAGTTTTCCACAATGGTTGAACTAATTTACATTCCCACCAGCAGTGTAGGAAGGTTCCTCTTTCTCTACATCCTTGCCAACATTTGTTGTTGTTTGTCTTTTGGATGTTTGTCTTTTGGATGTTGCCAGTTAGGATGGCGTGAGGTGATATCTCATTGTGGTTTTAATTTGCATTTTTCTGATG